CACACACACACACACACACACACACACACACTTGTTCTTGTTGCTTCTTGTTGCTTCTTGTTGCTTTTTGTTGCTTCTTGTTGCTTCTTGTTGCTCACTGCCAAAACTGGTCACGTGGGTCTCCCCGGGAGAGGGAAGAGAGACTCAAAAGGAATCTTGGAAAGATGACTCAATTGGCCATTGAACCACCCAACGGCCGACACCCCCTGAAATCCCCAAACTAGGGGGGAAATGATCCCACTTATGGGCTCACCGCACCTCAGTAAGTGGGTGAGGACAAGGTGCAGAAAAAGGATTGACGGCATCAGGGTATCCGTCCCGGGATCCAACTGCAGTTACCCCTGCTCCCAGTGAAGGTAATACTTGCTACTAGTGTGGGTGGCTAAATCAGAGTGGATCTGATAAAAGCTTCACTAGCACCATTGATTACACAAGAGTTAATCTAGCCAGAAGCAGTTCATGGTTAATAGTCCTGCGGCCCAAATCTAAAAGACGTTGTTTTGCAAGTCCCGTTTCAGTCTCAAGCAGACAACCTGAGCTTTGCATGGGTGGAAAGACCATGTCCTAGGGATGTCGAAACGGCTTGTTGTCATGTCCAGAACTAGGGCATAAGCTGGGGAGAACCAATTTTAGGTTTCGTTACGGAAGTCGTTATTTTACGTTATTTTACGACTCCTTGATTGAAATTGGCAGCATGTGATACGATATTTTATTGAAAATTAGTGCAGTCGATGTGAATTTGTTCTTGTATTTGGATGATTCGTAGATCATGGTTGCCCTTTGCCGAGCGTTCATTTCCTATTGATGGTGATTAGAGATGGCACAGATTGATTTGTTGTAAAATTCGACCAAAATCACCCCCAAACATGGATCTTTCGTATGAGAGGATTTCATTTATTGGGACACGATCTCGACAACACCAGCGGAAGAGAGCTAGCACGAGCGAAGCAAAGGACACCGGAAAACGGCAGAGTGATAGCGATCATAAGCTGATCTTAGCAAACGAGCGATATGGAAGATGTTGTAAATAATAGCGCAGTAGTGTATTTGTCATTTGCTGCAGAGTTGAAAAGTACAATTCAAATTCAAATCAATTCAAAAACTTCAATAGTGCGGTCCACTAGCCTTAGCTTTCAGACTCACTGTCCGATTCACAGTCGGACTTACAGTCCAATCCACTATCGAAACTGCCTTCACCCTCATCATGGCGTTGTGTGCATGCGCGCGTGCGCACACACACACGTACACACACCGCACAACACATGACATTGTGCGCGCGCGCGCTCGCACACACACATACACAAACCACACACGCACACACACACACACCGCACAACACATGGCATTGTGTGTGCGCGTCCGCGCGCGCACACACTCACACATCACATAGCACGCTAGAGATCAGCAAGAACCTGCTGCGACCGTGGTTGAGATGGCGCTGTAGAAGACACCGCAGCCGCCACTGGTTGCCTCGCACCCGAGGTTATAGTCAAAGCCGTACTAGCCGACACATCTGTACTGGAGGCTGATGTAGTACCCAGAGATGAAACGGATCCACTGGTGTTCACCTGACGCGGCGGAGTAGCGGATCCTTTGAAGCCGAAATGAGTGGGCAACACGACATTGGCGGGGACAAGCCCAGTGGATATCGCAGCGGGCCTATCGTAACTCCTGGCAGTGAGCCTATCGTAATTCCTGGCAGTGGGCCCGTCGTAACTCCTGGCATTGGGCCCGTTCTCTTGCCGGACACTGGGGTGCGCAGTGGACGTGGATGCGGGCAGGAAATCTGCGGCGACCGGCTGGACTGGGATGGTTGGAGCCGGGCCAGGTGCGTTACTAGTATGACTGTTCGGCAATGACTGGGTATTACCGGCCATCGGACCGTTTGCAGACGACACAGACAAGTGGTTGCTCCGTGAAGAGTGCGCCTGTATACCCATGCCACTTACCATACATGTCAATTGCTGAAGGAAACACACAGTTCAAACACAAAACGCAAATGAAACACGCCAATGAAATTCGATCCTTAAACAAGTCAAGTTCGCATGTCCGCGTTATCACGGGCTATACAATTGTGTTTAGAAAACAACCAGTTTATAATTCTGTCTCTTCTTGCTTAAAGTCAGCCTAGAATACTGACGTCAGCTTTGGACATTACTCTGACTCGGACCACAAGCCCTGATTTATTCTGACCTACATGTGTACCGTGTGAAGTAGCGCGAGAGCCAAGCTGGTCGTAATAATACGTGTAACAGCCACGAACGTAATTCAACCAAAGAAGACTACCACACTACATGAGCATGAACACTTGCATTCCATTTAATACATTCCTATGTTGTAGATGTCAGGCACTGTAGTGTTCACGTCTACATACACATTGTGGCATTCCTTGGCCACCCAGACATTCATGATAGTAGCGCATCGTGTTATGTTATGCATGCAGCATGTGCCGTTTCCCGAGCGCGCGTGTGAAATGAACTTAGCGGCTTTTAGTTGCTGTGCATGAGTTGAGTCTGGACTCATGATCTGGTGTGTACATGCAATCATGTGATCTTGTAGTTGAGCGTATGTGTTATTTGGATTTCCTTGGTCATGACCAAACAATAAAACATGATCAAATTATTTCTACACATTCAACAATGCCAAGAACTCACCTGGTCCCCAAGTAGCTCATTATCTTCTTTTTCAGCATGAAAGTTGGATACTAAGGCGGAGTGTGATGGTCGGCCAAGCTGGTGCCGTTTGCAGTTATTGTACTTATCCGTGAGAAGCTTCATGGGCAAGGCCCTTGCAGACTTCAACTCGGACTGTATATACAGCACCAGGCTGTCAAATATTTCGTAGGCCGACGGCTGGTCATTCCCTTTGCCACTTCGTTGCCGGTGCATAGTGGCCAGGTGGGTGAAGGCACTGTAGCATGCTCCGACGTTGATAGTGGATTTCCGCTGCAACGCAATCTGGGCCATTCTGGAGCGAAAGCCAAAATTCTTGCGTTGTTCTCCAACTCTGCTAGATGCACATGTCATGAGGCACAAGTCTGCAGATGTGGATTCAATCATTGTACATCTCTCCTTGTTCTACGCTTTGCTGGTACATGGTGTCCCATCATCACATACATGTATCTCCTCCAATTCAGAATGGCTTGAAAAGTCATGGCCACGTCCAAGTTGCAGCCGACCCAGCAACGTTTTGTTAGTGTATGTACTGTAGCACTTGCGGTGGTACCATCCGCGGACGCTCTCGCACAAGAAGGTATAGCTCGTCCTGCCTGCATTTAGCAGCTTCAAACAAAGTTTCCCAACTCTGCAAAGTAAATCGGGTTTGCTTTTCCTGCGATGCATTGAACGCAATGGCACAAGCAAAATTCCCACGATACAACGCCATTCCCAGGACGAGGCCTAAGAAGCTCCACGGCCTCTTCCTCCATCATGTCAAAAGGTGTCTACCATGCTGTGAGTGGTGGGCAGGAGGCACTCAAACAGCGCGAAACGCAACTACTATCCAACTACCAAACGAAAATGCAATTCTACATTTCAAAGAGTATCCTGTCGGTGTCGTCGTCATCTTCAAAAATTTGAAAAAGGCGCTCCTTTCCGTGAACTGTGCACCCCCAGATGGTGCGCAGTATCGCCGACGAGAGCGGAGAAATTGGCTTCTCCTGAGCTTCTGCCCTAACTCTGAAGATGACAACAAGCGGAATCCAGGTCAGGTATACATACTTTAGGACGTAGTGAAGAACCCAGGTTGTCTGCTTGAGACTGAAACGGATTTTTTTTTTGAAGTTTGGGCCGCTGGACTATAACAGGTATACTTCAAATAGAAAGTATAATGAACCCTGGAACCAACAAAGGTGGCAGGTACAACATTACACCTTCAAGCAGCCGAGTCCGTTGGCTCGGCAACAGGCCCAGCACAATCAGGCATAACAGAACTAGCTGGCACACACACACACACACACACACACACACACACACACACACACACACACACACACACACACACACACACACACACACACACACACATACACACACACACACATACATACGCGCGCGCGCGAGCGCACACCGATGACAACGGAAACTGGGAGCGAAGGCCACGCAGAACGAATCCAGAAGTTGCAGTATACAAGAGTTTCACCACCGCTGCCACCAATGTTGCACAGTCAACTTCGCTAATAACGGCTGTGGATATAACGACAATTCGCTAATAACGGCTGTGGATATAACGACAATTCGCGAATAACGGCTGCGGATATAACGACAATTCGCGAATAACGGCTGCGGATATAACGACAATTCGCGAATAACGGCTGCGGATATAACGACAATTCGCTAATAACGACTGCGGATATAACGACAATTCGCGAATAACGACTGCGGATATAACGACAATTCGCGAATAACGACTGCGGATATAACGACAATTCGCGAATAACGGCTGCGGATATAGCGACAATTCGCTAATAACGGCTGTGGATATAACGACAATTCGCGAATAACGGCTGCGGATATAACGACAATTCGCGAATAACGGCTGCGGATATAACGACAATTCGCGATTAACGACATAATTTTCATGCCCAGAGCAAAGTCCCATTCAACTGTGACACATATAATGAGACTTCGGGTATAACGACACTTCGCGAATAGGGGCACTTTTCTGATGCCCGCCGAGTGTCGTTATAAGCAAAGTTGACTGTATGTGGACTTTCTCCACCTGCTCCCAACCAATTGCCATCCCCACACATATACAATGGA